CAGTACCTAATACGTTATGGTTTGTACGGTATCACTTACCTGCAGTACCTAATACATTACTGTTTGTACGCTATCACTTACCTGCAGTACCTAATACGATACGGTTTGGTACGCTATCACTTACCTGCAGTACCTAATACGTTATGGTTTGTACGGTATCACTTACCTGCAGTACCTAATACATTACTGTTTGTACGCTATCACTTACCTGCAGTACCTAATACGATACGGTTTGGTACGCTATCACTTACCTGCAGTACCTAATACGTTACGGTTTGGTATGCTATCACTTACCTGCAGTACCTAATACATTACTGTTTGTACGCTATCACTTACCTGCAGTACCTAATACGATACGGTTTGGTACGCTATCACTTACCTGCAGTACCTAATACGTTACGGTTTGGTATGCTATCACTTACCTGCAGTACCTAATACGATATGGTTTGGTAGGCTATCACTTACCCACATAATAGACAAATGAGCCCCTTTTCTTAGTTTGTGTCAGCATAGCTTCTGTGTTTTGCCTCGTTGGGGCAGTAATTTCTTTCATAATTTGTGGAGCCCTTTCCATGAGCGAAAATGCCCATTATTTTTGATTTTCGGTGTTGCAGGCCTGCAGTTAGTAATCATAAATTACATTAAGGTGTCAATATACAATCCCCACAGAGACACAACCATACGCATACACATGTCTGTCCATTCATCATTTCCCTATTTTTGAGCCGTCTAACATCAATAAAACGTCATTCCCCACGTGATTGCATTCATCAGCCAGAAACAAAGGGAAGCCAAAAAAGAACAACCATTCCGTAACAATGCATAGGAGATTTTCCCTCCCTCATTTATCTCGTGCAACATTTACATCTTCTCCTAGTATCATCTCATTCCCAATATTGTTGAGGGAGCCATATTAGTCACTACTGAAATGTTACAACCCAGTGCCCTGTGTCAGCGTGTGAGTCGGCGAGCAGGGAAGCAGAGGCAAGAGCAGCCAGGTGGACGGACAAAAACGGGGTTTATTGGCACACGAAGCAGACGGAGACTCACACATGGGACTTGACGATGACAGATCTGGGGAAAACTACTCAAGACGTGGACTAAGTACAAAAGACTAGGTAAACGGAACAGGCGACAGGTGAGAACAATTAGGGCGAAACAGGAGGTAATGAGGTGGGCGTGGCACACATCGGGAGCGGACGGAGCGGGGCGTGACACCCTGTATGCACACTTTGAATGTAAGATGGGTCCATAAATATCTTCCACTGAAGAGATGTGTCATGTGACTGCAGTGTCTTGGACAGCCTAAAGACGCCTGTGATGGAGCAAATGTTTATGGTACTTCAGAGACATAAGCCTGTAGTGAAGTTTGGCTTCACTGAGCTGACCTAACTAACATATGTAAAATTTACATTTCCCATCAAGAAGTGAAGTTTTCTGGGACCGAAAGGAAAAATATATTATTATTTTCATGTGAATGGCTATGAATCAACGTCGCCAAATCGTGATCACTAAAGTGTTTCACTTTCCTGTGAAAACAAGTGGGATGAACTTGTGCTTCTTTGAATTTGTGCCAGGTGAAAATTGGGTCGTTGGGTTTTTGCTAATAAACAAAAGGAGCGTGATGTTTCGGGTTTATCCAGCCGGTGGTGGGGGGCATAGGTGGGGCAGCATTAACCACAGCTGAGTTCTCCCTTTACGGACCATCAGAAGTGCTATCGGGGCGTTTGTGTTTCTCACTCCTGTGTCTCCCCTGTGCTCTGCTGCACAGTCTCTCTCTCTTTCTCTTGCTTGCCCCCCCCCAGTTGCTGACCTCACAGGAGGTTCCTCTATAAATGTGGGAGGCCTGGCTGGGAGTCTCTCAGTCAGGCTGAAGCGTGCTGGATTCGTGTTTGACGTGTGCAGCGACAGGAGAGCCAGCAGGAGAACGCGACACCCCACCCCGGCACGAGCCGAAAAGACGCCACAGTAATAAAACGGACGAACAAGGTCAGAATACCTGGCTTCCAATTACACGAGCGCTGTCATCCTCCTCTGAAGTTGGAGTGCATTCTGGGATTTCAGTACTCCACATTCTTTCCCGAGCTTTTTTATGAAGATGTTTGCTCTGATGCTTGGGAGGCAGACTTGCTTCTGCGCCTTGATCCTCCTGCTCTGCACTGTCGTGGGGGTGAGTACCGAAATGCCGTCAGTGACCCGTACCTGTTTCTCATTCCGGTCCAAAAGGCAGGGTCTGTCGGGGTAATTATAAGGTGAAAAATTTTATAATTTTGGTTATGCTAAAGGAAAGGAGATGCTATAAATTAGACCTGCATTATATCCAATTTGAAGGTGTTAAATAATATGTTACCTGCACAGCTCTGTGAGTGAATCTAAATGTGCCTCCGTTTCATGAGGTAGCTCACAGAAGGGCAGATTCCATAGATTCATGGGCTGTGCTGCTCTGAGAAGGATGTTATCTCAGAGGTCCTCCTTCCGTCCATCCCATTCATTCGCTTTTAGCCCAAAATGCATGTTTTTACTAATTCAGTCAAGATTCCTGCCTTTTAATGACAGTGTGATTTGTTGACAGCAATAAAATAAAACATTATTTTGACTGCCATCCTCTGATGATGTCACACCCGGCGGTAGATCACATCTGGGTTGGGCGGTCCTCTTCAGAAAGTATCAGAAAGATTCACTTGCCGAGCGCTGGATGGGATGTAAAACATCTACTGACCAGCTTACTTCTTTCTTGAGTCATTAGACAATTCACAAGTTTACCAGACCGTCCAAAGTTTACCCTTTGTTCCTATGTGATTTTTTTCTATAATGCCTTCGTAACAATCTATGTAAGAATGTGCTAAATGAGATCAGATTTGACTAATATGGTCAATGACAGCTGATGATGAGCTAAATAACTGTGAACTTTGACCTTTCACTTTTCGGCTCCCCTATGGGCACACCGCTGACCCTGATGCCTGTCCTTCCCCGCTCCCCCCCACCCCAGGTGGACGGCACCTGCCCACAGCAGTGCTTGTGCCCCCCTGCCCCGCCCGCCTGCCCGCCCGGAGTCAGCTGGGTATTGGATGCATGCGGCTGCTGCAGAGTCTGCGCCCGCCAGTTCAACCAAGACTGTGGCCCCGACCAGCCCTGCGACCACATCAAGGGCCTCCGCTGCCAGATGGGTGCTGGGGGGGACCCAGGGCGGGGGCTGTGCCGGGGTAAGAGCAGGGAGGGGCCTTCACATGATGATGTCACCTTCCCCATGACCTCATCTTAGGGACTGCAACTGTGTGTACAATTTCCCTTTGGAGAACCTCTCAGAGTCCAGGCTATGTAAACATATAACATGCCCTAGCTGCATGAAGTCTGATCCTGTGAGAACATGATTAAAACACGCCCCCCTCCATTCCCCGAATCCCACAGCCGAAGCTCAGGGGCGCCCCTGCGAGTTTGACGGCCGCCTTTACCAGCACGGTGAGGACTTCGAGCCCAGCTGCCAGCATCAGTGCAGCTGCATGGACGGCGTGGTGGGCTGCATGCCCCTCTGCCCACACCGCGTCTCCCTGCCCACCTGGCCCTGCGCCCGTCCCCGCCTAGCCCGCCCCCCGGGCCACTGCTGCGAGGAGTGGCTCTGCGATGATGACAATGTCATCGCCGAGGAGCTCCCAGAGGCATGGCCGGGGGCCCCTTCAGCACCGAGGCCACACCCCGACCCCGCCAGCAACGAGCTGCTGGCGCCTTCGCCCCTGGAATTCACTGCGGGAGCCCCCATACAAAGTGAGCTGGGCATGGATCCTGTGGGTGGAGATTATGCCTAAATTATTTTTGAATGAATTGGTTGCTTTGGGGCAGTACAGTTAATAACATGCTGGTGCCCCCTAGTGTCAGTGAGTGTATTTGTCTGTGCATGTAGGTGTAGCCCCACCTCCCCGTTCATGGCTCTCTCCGCCCTCTTTGCCACAGACCCCCAATCCCATGCCCTGCTCGCCTCTGACTGCTTCCCGCAGATCACGGATTGGTCACCCTGCTCTGCCACCTGCGGGATGGGCGTGTCCAGCAGGGTGACCAATGACAACGTGGCATGCCGACTCATCAAAGAGACGCGCCTCTGCCAGGTCCGGCCGTGTGACATGGAGCTCACGTCGCCCCTCCGGGTAAGGGGCTCATGAGCACTTTTATAAACATGTGGTAACTTTGTTTCAAACTCAGATGTAATATTTATATTTATACTACGAGTTACTGTAGCACACAGCATAGTCTTCAAGGACAAGAACACTGTCCCTCACTCTCACTCTGCTCTTCCCTTTCACACTATCCCTCACATTGATTCTGTTCTTCACTTTCATACTGTCCCTCACTCTCACTCTGCTCTTCCCTTTCACACTATCCCTCACATTGATTCTGTTCTTCACTTTCATACTGTCCCTCACATCTCACTCTGCTCTTCCCTTTCACACTATCCCTCACATTGATTCTGTTCTTCACTTTCATACTGTCCCTCACATTCATTCTGTTCTTCACTTTCACACTGTCCCTCACTTTCACTCCACTCCTCACTTTCACTGTGCCCCTTACTTTCACTTTCACTTTTCATTGACAGTAAAAAAAAAAAAAATGGTTGAGACGATTTCTGGGAGAATACCTGTCATATGACACAAGCTTCGTCAAGCTCTGCATCATGTCACTCATCACCTAGGCAGGCAGCTGGTTGATGAATGAACATAGGTAGTAAAGAATTAACCAAAGTTTTATCTGGCCCTGCTGCTCTCACACAGGCGGGGAGGAAGTGTGAGCGGACAGTGAGACCCCGGAAGCCCATCCGGCTAACGTTTGCGGGCTGCTCCACGGCGCGGCAGTACCGGCCGCGGTCCTGCGGCTCCTGTGAGGACGGGCGCTGCTGCCTCCCCTCTGTCACCCGCACCCTACGCCTCCACTTCCTCTGCCCTGGCCCCAAGAGTGGGGGGTTCACGAGAGACATCATGTGGATCCAGCAGTGTCGCTGCGATGTAGCCTGCCCTGGCCCCGCCCCCTCAGCCTCCCCCAGCCTTCCCAGCGACATTCACACCTTTGATCACTAAAACAGCCACTCTTCTGGAAGGTTCCACAATGGCTTGGGCTGGAACGGGCCTGGAAAGAATTGGATGTGACCCACCTGGGTTGAAGATTCTGTGTGTAGCTGCCCTCCAGCACTGAAGAGGGCGGCCAACATTTGTGCTAATGACCCACATTTCTGCCTTTTATGACATAGGCAGTCCTCATATTTCTGGGCTAAAAGCTGAAAAATATGTACTTAATAATAATTATTAAAATAAAGGGTGCTTCTGTGCTAATTATATGTATTTAAAGTTTAGGGACTTATGTTAATATGCTTGTTCTATGTTTGTGTAATAACATTCAAGAAAATTATAACTGAATTCCATCTGGGAGTAACAGTGAAATTCCGAGCTTTTTCAGTCATTGAATCACACCCCCCACACTCGGACTTTCCCATTCCCATTTCCCAGAAGGCAGGGTGTCTCCACCGCACAAAACTTATACCACATACTGTACATGTAGAAATATACTTGTATATATATTGTATATTTACCTCTGTACATATATTTTGTATGTTTACCTCATAATTTCAAATGCTTTGGTTGGAATGAAAAGCAAAATGTGTTTCTGTGGGAATTCTCCTAACTTGTTATGTTTTGTACAGTATTCACCTTTGGTGAAACATTCTTTGTTCTAGTTTGCCTCATTTTTCGAGGGGCCCAAAATATTTATTTTTTTATTATTATTCTTTTGCAAAAAAAAAATATTTTTAGGCATGTCTGTGTCAACATTTGTAATGGACAGAAATAGATGGTGTAACAAACCTTTAGTAGTCTGACTCATTTGTTTCAGCTAAAAACATCCAAACAGACACACACATACACACACACACACATGTTGGTCTACCTTTCTAAATGTGGATGTATCATTCATTTCTATGGGAAAAACCCTAATCTCAATCAAGACACCCTTACCCCCTACCCAGCCCTAACCTTAACCATAAGCAACCAAACAAAATACAAAACTTTTGGCATTTTTACGTTTTTGATTGCAGTCACAGATCTTTAAAAAATTGAGGTTACTCAAATGGGGACCTGAAAAATGTCCCCAAAATAGTAGTAGTACAAGTTTTAGGTTTTGCCACACTTTGGAGACAAAGGTGATCTATACAAACCCACACACACACACACACACACCAAAGACAACTACCTTCTGATACTTTTACTACAACTGTGACCGTATCCACGGTTCTGTAAGTTATTGTTATGTCGATTCCCTCCCTTTTCTGGAGCAGATTCACACCCTATGATGTCACAGTTCTTTAGGTGGTCCCTGAAGCACACTAAAGCCGCTCGACTCTGACGTATATCTCGCAGGATCCCCTAACCAGTTACAATCTGTCTTTTCCTTTCAGACCTTTTAATACTACTAAAAGAATCTATATGAATTTATTATATTGTTGCTTTAACTCATGAAATAAAATGTATAAAACATTATTACAGACATGTGTTTTTCAAAATATTCTAGTAATGAATAGGTGTCCATCTCACCCAACCACACTGGGTCACAGTGAGTCTGGGGCTTATACTCAGTGTTCTCCACTGATGTCACTAATCCATCTGACAATCCCATACAGAAATCAAATTTTACGTAAATCAGATCTACCTTCCTATACCATTCTGGATACCTTATAGCAAAAAAGACATAACGCAAAAATATACTAGTAATATCTACCAAAGAACACATATTCAATAACTGGAAAGATACATTGTAAATTTACTTGCAGGTCTTTTGAGTGCACCATAAACTCTCATAAAAAAAGTATCTCTTGGTTTCATGTAAGTTGAGAGCTGCCTGCATTATCCAGGACAGGCTGCCAGTGCATCACAGGCTGCATACCCACTCATGTCATAACATGCATAAGGTCATTTCGCGACACAAAGTCAGCTAACCCTATGTGATTGGATTGAGAGAGGGAGCCACTGCACCCAGGGAGAACATGCAAAGTCCACACACACGGAGAGAACATGGAAACACCACACACATGGAGAGAACATGCAAAATCCACACACATGCATAGAACATGCAAACACCACACACATGGATAGAACATGCAAACACCACACACATGGAGAGAACATGCAAAGTCCACACACACAGGGAGAACATGCAAAATCCACACACATGGGGAGAACATGCAAACTCCACACACATTGAGAGAACATGCAAACTCCACACACATGGGGAGAACATGCAAAATCCACACACATGGGGAGAACATGGAAACACCACACACATGGAGAGAACATGCAAACTCCACACACATTGAGAGAACATGCAAACTCCCCACACACGGGGAGAACATGCAAAATCCACACACACACACAGAACATGCAAAAACCACACACATGGGGAGAACATGCAAACTCCACACACACAAGGAGAACATGAAAACTCCACACACATGGAGAAAACATGCAAACATCACACACAAAGAGGTGGGATCCGAACCCTGAGCCTGGGAGAAATGAGGCCAAATTGCTTCCCAATGAACCCCCTCTAAAAGTAAAATGTATTATTTGATGCATAAATATATCCAAATGAGGCTCTTCACCCTGTACCTTGGCAGTAGTTGTCTTCCATCACAGCATGGATGTTTTGCTCTGTAAGAACGTCAGTGCCTGTAAGACTAACACACTTGCTCATGTATCAGCTTGGACACTGCGCCCCTTTAACATGCTGGATGATTTGTTCTCCAACAGCACGGATGATGTAACAGAAACTCACACTTATCTGGCTTTTATGACATCGCTCATGCTTAGCTGAGCATCGACCTCACCGACCTCAGCCTCTGCTGTACTTCCTGACACACCCGTGTGTTTTGTGAATGGGGAGTGGGGGGGCAGGGGGCTTGAATCCATACCCAGCCTGCTGCGCTGCCAGTGCCTCAGCTCAGTCCCGCCGTGACGCATGTGGGGTACGGCCTGGTAAACATCGCAGCCGTCTCATAAATTCCTCACGGGTCACTCAGCCCAGCCTGTCCAGCCCCTTTGCTCAGACCAATTACTTGCCGCTGGGTTCAGGACCAGATTACTACAAAAGCTGGATACATAAGTGGCAGTAGCCCAGGCTTTTTCGGGGCTGAAGGTTCCAGAACCCCCCCCGTTGCCCTACAATGGAGGGGGGGGGAATCAAGTCAGCAGGTCTGTCAAGATAATCTTGACTTATCTGAAATTAGTTATTCATATAAAGGTGGAGAATGATTTTTTTCTATATTAAGTTCTCTTATTAATAATAATATTGTATTATTAACTTCTCTATATGACTGATAGAATATGGAATGTGCAAATTTCTGAAATGTCATCACGAGACCCTGAATAACAAGCAGAGTGCTCCCTTCTGAAGTAAGACAGGGCTTCCAGATGAGCGATGTGGACTGAAGAGGTGGGGGTTAGGGGGCCACACGTCGTGCTGTAAGGAAATGGCTCCTCGGGTGTCTCACGGTGCTCCGGCACAGTGTACATTGGCTCAGAGAGCAGACGGAAAGTCTCAGGTACAGTGCAGTCTCACAGCGAGCTGCGAGTTTCGGCACCAGCCCGGGAGAGGAACAGGAAATGCGTAGGAAATGGAGGGGGGCGTCTCAGGGAAGTCAAGAATGCTCTCTTTATAAAATTATTACATAATTTCTTTATAGATATATTGTTACCATTAGCCCTTAGTTACTTTATCCTTCAATTTAATTCATAATACTACATACATCGATCGGGGTTGCAGGGGGACTGGTAATATTATTATTATTATTATTATTATTATTATTATTTGTACTAGTAGTAGTAGTATGTTTGCATTTACATTAATTTAGCAGATGCTTTAGTCCAAAGTGATGTGCAAGTGAGACAAATAGCAGATTACAAACATACGGCTGACAGGGAGGCGACCAGGCCTGAGTGCAGCTCGCTGAGCTTCCAGTGGAAGCCCAGGTACATGTGTAAGCAGTATGGGAGCAGGAGCTACACAACAACTTCTAACCAAGCAAGAACATAATAAGACTAATCAAGGAGAGAAGTGCAATAAGAACATTCAGGGTAAAGAGGCATCAGGCTAGTGGAGGAATTCCTGGAACATGTCGGTCTTGCTGCATTTCATGAAACTGGTAGCACTTTTTGCATGTATTTAACATGCATGTATAAAGGGTCATGCACACTATCTATATCAGGGGTAGGCAATGCATGCTGACCATACCAGAGGTGGGCATCTTATCCGTAAAAAGCCAGTGTGTATGCAGGTATTGGGATGACCTTTAGGTCAGCTGCTCAAACCCAGGTGTGAGCATTCTTCAGCCAACCAGTCTTCTAATTAGGGAGTGGCAGTGAAAACACGCATATCCAACGGCCGTTTCTAGATAAGATTGCCTACCCCTATTCTACACAGACCTCAAAGAACACAAATAGTGGTGAGAATGCTGCCCTCTGCTGGTCAAACATTAACTACTACAAATGAGAAAGGAAAACGTACAGGTACATCTACCGCTCCATTGGCCTATGAGGCGGTTCTCACCTGATTTCTGAGAACAGGCAATGGGAAAACAACTTCAAACTCAGTGAGTTTCCACGGTGTGACAGTATGAGGTATCCCAATAGTATGAGTATTTCCTGTGGTGATAGTGACAATAATAGCTTACGTAGGTTTGTCACCTTCTTTTTTAGCCCCCTCTTATCCATCCCTTTCAAACTCATTTGATTATTCATTCGCACTTCTCACTCACGCCCTCTCATGTTGGCCCCTTGTGCCCATATTTAATGCCTTTCTCATAAAGAGGGTGTCGGATTCTGAAACCTGGTTCAATAATAGTTTGGGGGGCAGGGCGCTAAAAAATAGCCATGCAACAGCCCTTCATAAAAAATAATAGCCAGAGAGGGATGTGATGCTATCTTATTACTCTGTAGGAAAACAATCCGATTGAATCACATCGTAAGAAAGTCTAGTTGTGTATTTCAGAAATCACAGCAGCCAAAAGTCAATATGTAATCATGTTAGATTTCTCCCTGTTTGATACAAATGATATTGTTGTCCCCGGGTACTTAGAGAAGATGTGCTCAGTGATTAAATCCCCGTGTTCTGAAATTATATACAATAAAAGAAATAAATAACACAATATATAGGATGTCCTACACTGGGCAGTCTGAGAGATCAAGGTAGAGGGTTTGTCCGTATAGGTCGACGATCCCTGGACGTACCTCCTTCCACAGTACGACTGATTTATACCTGAGATACCGGGTTTGGTAGTAGAAATTAATCAACGTAGGATTTACACCTGAGATTTCGGGTGGTTAAATACTGGCAAAGCTATAGTGTGTAAGGGTTGAAATACAGTGAAAGCTGCTCTACGAGGCTGGAGTGCCGACCTGTATCTTGTGAAGGTGATAAATTGAGAACGTAATATTTAGATATTCCACTAGATGTCGCTCCATACTATTATTAAGTGCGTCGTGTGCGGTAATTAAACAGTCTTAATTTCCAGTTGTGTTTTCATGTAGTCGATATTAGAACATACACGTATAAACGAGAGGAAGCCATTCGGCCCATCAAGCTCGTTTGGGGAGAACTCAACTAATATATTAACGTTGTTAAAATATTATCTAGCTCTAATTTTAAGGAATTCAAGGTTTTAGCGTACACTACATATACTAACAGGAAGAATATTCCATACTCTTACTACACTCTCTGTAAAGAAGTGCTTTCTCAAATCCAGTTTAAAATGTTCTCCCGCTAACTTCCACCTATGGCCACGAGGACTTGTATTTGAAC